TCTTCCCAGGTGTTGTCCTCGTCTGCTGCATTGAACCACTTGATTAACAACTGAGTAGCAGGTCTTCCATGCTGCTTGACAATCCTCCTATCAAGAATGGCCTGAGGAGTAAGAAGTATGTGACCAACATCAACATGAACTTCAGGTAGAGTAGCAGAAACAATATGGGATCACAACTTCTTTTTGAGCTGAGAAATATGGATGGTGGGATGAATTTTAGAGTCAGGGGGTAACTGGAGGGTGTAAGCAACTGGACCCACCCTTGCAAGGATTTGGAAAGGACCAAAAAACTTGGCTGAAAGTTTCTGGAAAGCATGGGATTTAAGAGAGGTCTGTCTGTAAGGATGTAACTTGATGTAAACCCAATCTCCCACTACATAGGACCTATCAGTTCTTCCTTTATCCGCATGAGACTTCATTCTACTCTGGGCTCTGGCCAAATGAGCTTTTAGGCATCTTAAAGTGGCCTCTCTAGCTTGTAGACTCCTATCTACCAAATCTAGTTGGGAGTCAAAAGGCATATAAGGTAAGAGATGAGGGGGTGATTGGCCATAAACTACAGAATAAGGGGTCATGTTAATAGCAGAGTGGAATGTGGTATTGTACCACCATTCAGCCAATGCCAACCACTGAGGCCACTCCCTAGGCTTCTCAAACGTCATACATCTCAGATAACACTCAAGGCATCTGTTTACAACTTCAGTCTGTCCATCTGTTTGTGGATGGTATGCAGAAGAAGTAAGCAATGTGACCTTCTGTAGTTTGAATAATTCCTTCCAAAATCTGCTTGTAAAAATTGGATCTCTGTCTGAAACGATGGTTTTTGGCATGCCATGGAGTTTGAACACCCCACTCATGAAAGACTGAGCCACATCCACAGCAGAATAAGGGTGTTTAAGTGCCATAAAGTGAGCTGCCTTACTCAATCTGTCAACTACCACAAAAATCACCTCATGTCCAGCCACCCTTGGAAGGCCTTCTATAAAATCCATAGAGATATCCTACCATACCTTGTCAGGGATTGGAAGAGGTTGAAGAAGGCCAGGGCATGCAACATTCTCACCCTTGCACCTCTGACAAACATCACAACATCTAACATAGGCATAAACGTCCTGCTTCATCTTCTTCCAATAAAAATCTTGTCGCAGCCTTTGCAAGGTCGCTGTCATACCAGAATGACCCCCACTAGAGCTATCATGGTACAGTGCTATCAAATCTTTTCGTACTGCAGCCACAGAACCTACCATCATCTTACCCTTTCTACTGAGAATACCAGCATGATACCTATAATAAGGTTTAGGAGCACCTGTAGTCTGTATGGAAGTAATTAGCTTCTGTAATACAGGATCCTGCAACCATGAACTCTTCACATCTTCAAGTAATTGAGCCTGGACCCCAGAAATGCTACAAAGCTGAATGGGTTCCTCTCTTCTAGAGAGAGCATCTACAACAATATTGTCCTTGCCCTTCTTATAGGAAATTATATAGTCATAACCAAGTAGTTTAACCAGCCATTTCTGTTGGCTAGGAGTGGTAATTCGCTGTTCTAGCAAATATTTGAGGGGTTGGTGATCAGTCTTTATAATAAATTGCCTTCCCAAAAGATAAGGCCTCCACTTTTGAACAGCAGCTACCAGTGCTAACAATTCTCGTTCATATGCTGATAGGGCTTGATTCGTTGCAGACAGTCCTTGACTGAAGAAAGCTACAGGTCTGTGACCCTGTGCAAGAACAGCACCAATGCCTCCTCCAGAGGCATCTGTCTCTATTATGAAATCTTTGGAAAAATCTGGTAAAGCTAAGACAGGTGCTGATGTAACAGCTAGTTTTAGTTGGTCAAAAGCTTGAGAAGCAGCCTCATTCCATTTGAAGTTCCCTTTTTTCAGCAAGTCATTCAAAGGTCTTGCTATAATCCCAAAGCCTTGAATAAATCTCCTGTAGTATCCTGCAAGTCCTAGAAATCCTCTCAAACCCTTCAAAGTAGTAGGTTGAGGCCAGTGCACCACAGCTTCTACCTTGTCCCCATCCATAGCAACCCCTTCTTGAGAAATGACATGACCTAGATAGTCAATCTGCTGGACCCCAAAAGCACACTTGTTATGCTTCATATATAAGACATTTGCTACCTTGTCCCCATCCATAGCAACCCCTTCTTGAGAAATGACATGACCTAGATAGTCAATCTGCTGGACCCCAAAAGCACACTTGCTATGCTTCACATATAAGACATTTACTCTAAGTATACTGAAAGTTTCTCTCAAGTGAGAAAGGTGATCAGTCCAGTTAGAGCTGTAGACAAGGATATCATCAAAAAATACCAAGATAAATCTCCTGAGATGAGGAAGAAAGATCTGATTCATCAAGCTCTGAAATGTAGAGGGAGCATTGGTCAGGCCAAAAGGCATGACCATGAATTCATAGTGACCTTGATGGGTCCTAAAGGCAGTTTTTGGAATGTCAGGCTCAAACATCCTAATCTGATGGTAGCCGGATCTTAAATCCAACTTGGAAAAATACTTTGCACCATGTAGCTCATCTAATAACTCTTCAATTACGGGAATAGGAAACTTATCTTTTACTGTATGATTATTCAATTCTCTGTAATCGACACACATTCTCCATGAACCATCTTTCTTCTTTACCATGACTATAGGTGAAGAATATGGACTGGTGCTAGGCCTTATGACACCTGAATCTAACATCTCGTTTACCAGCTTCTCAATCTCATCCTTCTGAATTGCAGGATATCTGTAAGGTCTAATATTGATTGGAGATGTGCCATCTTTCAATACAATCTTGTGATCATGATTCCTAGAGGGTGGTAGTTCTGTTGGTACCTCAAATAAGTCAGAAAAATCCTGTAGCAACTCTTGCATGTCTGTACTGTCCTTTCCTGTTGTACCACAGCTGCTAATAGAGAACAAACGACCTGGTTCCTCACTGCATTCCTCTCCCAAATACATACCTACCGAGATCATACATAGTTCTGCTGGTTTAGCTAACAACTTAGCCATACCACTCTGTTGAACCACCTTAGCCGCAGGTGGTTTGATACCCCTCAAAGACACTTTGTGACCCATGATACTGAACTCCATCTTAAGTTGTTTGAAATTCCACATTATGTCCCCCAAAGTAATCAGCCATTGAACCCCAAGAACCATATTACATCCTCCAATAGGTAGCACGAGCATGTCAGAATCAAATGATACTCCTTGCATTTTCCAAATCAATTTCTTACATACATAATTGCAATGCATCTTTTTCCCGTCAGCCACAGAAACAGGAAATGGGGATATAGCAGTTAAAAGACATCCCAACCTCTTAGCAGTATTTAGATCAAGAAAATTGTGAGTGCTTCCTGTATCAATTAGGACTTGTACAGCCTTGCCTTTAACAGATACTGTAACCCTCATAGTCCTAAAATCATGCAACCCAGTCATAGCATAAACTGAGACATGTGGTAGAATAGCCCCCTGATCATCAGTCTCTAAACCTTGACCTATCATAGTCAAAAATTCAGCAGGGTCTACAAAAACTTCTTGCTCTAATTCCACAATACCTGCATTGTCTTCCTCTACTTCCATAGAAAACAATTGCCTCTTCTTCTTACATACATGCCCATACACATACTTTTCATCACAATTGAAACACAGGCCCTTGCTCCTCCTTTCTTCCATTTCAGCAGGTGTTAACATTTTGACATTTTTTAGGTTTGGCTTGGAGTTGTTAGAGAGGGTAGAGGGATTTTTTTGGGTATTCTGATGAACTCTGTTGGATTGGTAGGTAGATCCATAAGAAAAAATGGGATTGGTGGTGTCAAATCTGGGAGTAGTTTTGGGATTATAAGGCTGTGAAAAAACTTGCTGCTGAACCAGAAGTGTTTGTTCCTGCATTCTAGCTAAACTAACTGCTTTAGCTAGAGATCTAGGTCCTAACATCTTAACAGGTAGGCCAATTTCTGGTTTAAGACCCCTCACAAAACAGCTAACAACATAGTCTTCTGAAAGTTCTACTCTAGTGAGTAGTTCATCAAAGATATCAACATAAGCTTGTACAGAATTGACTTGCCTGAGATCCTTGAAGTCTCCCATAGGATCATCATAGAGCTTAGTTCCAAATCTGGCATACAAACACCTCACGTAATCATCCCAGCTAGGCCATCCTCTGGTCAATCTCTGCTTCATATACGATTGATGCCACTGCAAAGCTTTTCCATCCAATTTGAAGGAGACAATCTTCACCTTTACATCTGGAGAAGTTTCATCTACATCGAAGAACTGCTCGCACCTATAGAGCCAATCTTTTAGCCCAGTTCCATCAAAATGAGGAAGGTCAACCTGATAATTCCTATTATCCACTGGACAATTGTGATTGAGAATTGGAACTCCTCTGTCCCTGTTATCATCATGTGCTCTCCGATCTTCTCCATCTCCATTTCTAGGGTTCACATTCTCTGTCAGCAATCGTTTAATATCTTCCATGGCCTGCGCCACCTTCGTATCCATCGATTGTTGCAATTCTGTCACAGAACTAACAACTCCTTCCATAGAACCCTTCAATAGATCAACCTCCCGTCGTAATTCTTGCATACGAGTGTTGTGATCCCCCATTATTGCAGGTCAGAGGATTTCTGCGCTCTGATACCAATGATACAAACAGAATTAAGATGAGTAAGCCTAAAGGGAAAAGTATTGAATTACCCTTGAATAGCTGTGCTCGGTTCCCTTCAAAGAAAGAGAAAACTGAAAGAAGAGAGAGAAGAGAGAATTTTCTTATTGATCTCCAAAATGATACCCATTACAATGAAAGATCAACTATATGTAGCTGGACTATTTCCGAGAGTAACTAACTCTTCTAACAACATTTCCTAATGGTTTCAGTTTCACACCCATGCTTAGTCACGTAACTGCTTCACTTAGCTAAAATACAAGCATATACAAATTGGAATTAATGAAATGAACTAATTGGCATGTAACAGTTTTACCCAATATCTAGTGAGTTCTTGCTTCCAATTTTACTTCTACAAATGTCTAGTACTTCACACTTCCAATTAAGTTAAATTATGTTTTTTCTAATTTGCAGCTTTTTGACCGATTCTTTTTTTGTTTCTTTTCCTCTTTTGATACAAGATCCAAAGCTTTTGGACTAGAAAATGGTATGATTTTGTTTGGGGATGCTATGGTTATTTGGAGAAGCACAAAGCTAAAGTAGATATATTCTTTGATATGCAGTCTTAATTGGGAGTAACGACGAAGATGTAATCAAACGAAGACCCGCACAACAGACAAAGAAGGAGGTGAATATAAATCATAGATCCACTAAATTCTCTGTGTTTATAGATTTTCGTGTGTTCTTCTGTTTCCTCTGCTACATTCTCTTCAAATTGGTCAAAAATTGATTTTGACTTTGTTTCATTTGCTATGCTTTTTGTTCTTCTCTGTTCTTTCACGCTACATTTGAGCTTGAAAATACGAGGCTTATATTCCATAGAGTTCAACGTAAATTGAGCTTTAGATAAGCCTCAGTTTTGTGTGTGTGAGGGTGGCAGGTTGGTGGTAATGACTGTTGGAATCCGAAATTACGGGAGGATGATGATGCTTGAAGCTTTTGATTAGATAAAAGGCTCAAATCTTATTTGTTCGTAAGTTTATTTTTAATTTTTAATGGATTTCTTGCTAAAATTTACTTGAGAAACCTAGGATATGGTACGGCATATTGGTCTTCTAATTGATTTGAGAATGTGGCTCCTTTCAAAAGAAATCATAAACCATATGACGAATGGATTTTATGTTGATGTTTTATCGTCTATCTCCAACAACAACATACCTTGTGTAGTTTCATAACTGGTATTTGGGCAGAGTAGGATGTATGTAGACCTTATTCTTACCGGGGCTAAAGTGATTGTTTTCGATAGACTCTCAACTCAAAAGTGAAGTTTTTCAAGTAATCTCAAAGAGTAATGCCATGAGCAATGTGCTGTCAAAAAAAAGAAATTAATTTGAAAACGAAGAATCTATCAACTGCACAAATATAGATGCCTCACTCGCTAGGCTGTATCAACTACATGATTTCATCTTTAACTTCAGATATTGATCCTTGTTTAAGAAAAACTTACATGTTTAAGGCTTTAAAGTTCTTTGCTATTCCAAGATACTATTTAAAATGATATATTTCTTGCACCCATTTATGGTTGAGAGAATCCTAATGTGAGATGATGAATACTTGAAAACAAGGAAATTAAGATAATGAATAGTTAGTACATTACTATTAAGTATTACGAACAACTTAACATATAGGAAAAATGCAAAATCAGGAGTTCCTTTAGTTTTCGATTAGATAATTTTAGTTTTCAAAGTAAAATAGTAAATATTTTTTAATATGCATGTGTAATAATAGCCTATCATACTGACAATTGACCAATGTGTGTGGTACTAATAGCGCTAGACATGCTGATCGTTTTTCCTCTTTTGCTTTCACTCAATATCTCGTTTCAACTTTCACTTAAAGTAATGTTATGAGTGTCGATATTTTGTATATTGCATTTTATAACCCTGACTACAAAATGTAATAATTTCCTTTAGGTACATTCTTATAATCATACCGTCAGTGGATCATATCCTTTGTTTGGGTTTTGCACGTTCACTACATGGTGGCACCTTCAAGGTCATTTATCTCTATGTATCTCTTTCTCTTTACTCAAGTAAGTCATCTTATTCAATGATGGTTTGGTCTATTTTTTCTTAATTCTGGATAGGAAATTTTTTTAGTAGTAGGGAAGTCTAGTAACTCATAGAACTATCATTTTCTTTTTAAACAAGAGACTCTTTTTGGGACAAACAAAAAAGGAAAGTAAGAAGTGTAAATTGTAACCAATGAAGTACCATTCTGATGAGGAAAATACTGGAAAGTTCAAAGTGCTCAAAAGTTCAATCAACTTTCTAGTTTTTATTTTTTCTTCTCTTTTATATTTCTATTTACTGCTTAATTTGATTATGATTTTCATACTTAGTAGGCGAAAGGTTTCGTGTATTTTCTACTTGTTTAGTAAATGGTAATACTCCTATACAACAACTCTTATGCTTGCTTTAGCTGATATGATATATAATATTAGGATCATAGTTTAGTGAATCATAAGTCTAGATATGATTGAGATTAATTAATATATTTATTGATTTTTTTTCACATGCCAACCATGTGTATATGCTTGGGAATCTAAGACTTGGATATGCAAGAGAATGTTACTGTTAGAGTTCTTAGTGATAAAATATCACATGTTTAGACTTGGTTGTTGCTTTAATTTGAGATATCTTTTTATCCATGATAATATTCAATACTCTCTTTATCATATTCTTTTGGGTTCATTCATTAGAGAATTGTTATTGTTAAAGTTGATATTACTCCATAGAGTTGTCTTGGAGATGTCTTACTTTGTGAAGGTAAATCCAATTAGTACATTACCAGATGATGTGGTTTAGTCAGCATCTTAAGGACAATAACAGATCAAATTGAATGTCTATCTTTTTTTTTGGTTAAAATGGTTTGGCTCAAGGCCAATTTATTCAAAACAAATTATATACAAGCTATAGCTAAAAGCCCGACCAAGAACAGGTCAGGACTATCTTAACAGGAAATAAGCAAAAGGAAACAAAAGATAAAAGACAACAAATGAAAACACTAAAGAAGTAACTAAAAGGAAAGTGAAAAGCCTATGGATGAACTCTCTGTAACATTCGACCCCAGAGATTCACCCCTAAACTTGGACCTTAAGCTCATCTAAATTGTTGCTGCTCTGCTGGAAATCAACCAGATTGACCTCTGAAGGTACGAGCTGAGGGAGGTAAGTAGCATTCTTGGAGCCTAATCAATTTCTTACGGGATAAAATCGGTTTTTCTTCAGCTCCTGCTTATTGATGACATTTCTATCTCAAGTTTTGGGTGATGCCACTATGAGACACCTACAATATTTCACCAGGAGAAATGACATCTTACCCAAAAGAATCCTTTCTCAAACTTGAGGAGAAGTGATTTAAGATGAAACTGAAGTTTAAGATGACTGATAGTCCTTAACTATTGACGTAGGTTGTATTAGGAGTGACTCGTTTGTGATTTTCATTGTTTTTCTTCTAGAAGAATGAACCTCCAAGGAGATTGATACCACATACTAGAACAATTACAATAGAAGCCACAAACAAACTCTCCAAATGGAATTACGGTAAAATCATATATTTGTACTTCTTGCTGTGTTTTTGGGAATGCTTTACTGTTTGGACCTGTGGCTTACTGAATTGTTGTTAATCAGTCCTAGACCTTGTCTTGGAAATAGTCATTTAATTTGGTTCCCTTTCTCTTACCGCCTTGAATCGTATACTTGGATTTTGTTGTTTATGTGTGTTAATTAATTATCTTTTTAGCTTCTGATGGGAGTTCCTAAAAATTATTGTATTGAATAGTACAATAAAACACCCCCACCTCCTCTCCTCCCTTGTCCCTACATTTATTTCACTTCTCATTTGTGTTCCAATTTTGTAAGATCTACCAATTTTCTCTTCATTTGTGCATATTTTCTTCAAATCTCAGTTCCAAAATGCGTGAAATCCTTCATATTTAAGGTGGACAATGTGGTAACCAAATTGGTGCCAAGTTCTGGGAAGTTTTTTGTGCCAAACACGACATTGATTCTACCGATCGTTACAGTGGTGATTCTGATCTCCACTTGAGAGAATTAATGTGTATTACAATGAGGTTACCAGTGGAAGATTTGTTCCTAGGGATGTTCTTATGGATTTGGAGCCTCACACCATGGACAATATTAGATCTGGTCCTTATGGACAGATCTTCCATCCTGATAACTTTGTTTTTGGACAATCTGGTGCTGGTAACAATTGGGCTAAGGTAAGTTACACCGAAGGTGCTAAATTCATTAATGTCGTTCTCGATATTGGTCGTAAGAAAGCCTAAAACTTTGACTGCCTTCAAGGTTTGTGTTTCTACCCGCATTTTCTTAAACATTTTGTTTTCATTTGGTGTTGTTGTTGTAGATCTGTGCATTTTGAGGATTTATTTACGTTCTATGTGTTTGATTTTCAGGATTTCAATTGTGCCATTCATTGGGTGGAGGAACAGGTTCTTGTATGGGAACACTTTTGATCTTAAAGATCAGAGAAGAATACCCGGACAGAATGATGCTTACCTTCTCCGTTTTCCCTTCACCTAAGGTTTTTAACATTGCTGTTGAGCCTTATAATGCTACCTTGTCCTTGCATCAACTGGTTGAAAATGCCGATGAGTGCATTGTTCTTGGTAATGAGGTTCTATACTACATCTTCTTCAGAACCCTAAAGCTCATCACCCTAAGTTGTAAGTCATTTCAGCATCTCGATTGCGTTTTTCTTTGCGTCATCTGTTTGATTGTTGTTAGCTGAGCATGTTTGATATTTCTTGTTAGTTTTTTATTTAGCACTTTGAAGTTATGAATCATCTGATATATTTCTTATATAAAAGCTTTGTTAGTTAAAGATCGGCTAACTGGTTCTCTTCTCTTAGAACACGTGACACCTAGAAATCCCCCCTTCTCTTCCACTTTTAGATCTTCTGAACCTCCATACTAATAGCCCATGGACTGTCCCAATCTTCATCAATCACCTTCTTGATGATTAGGGAGCTAGTCTCCATAATAAGAGGCATTAGCTGTTCTCTTATACAATAAGCCACTACTTCGTGAATTGTCAACGCTTCAACACCTAAACTAGTAGTATTGGCAATGACCCCTACCATTTCTAATGCAGAATGCCAGAGAGCAAGGATAAGGGTTCTCTCTAGACAAGCCATCAGTATTGAACTTAAATTTTCCTTGGGGAGGAAGATGTCACTAGACTAATGTGCACCTCGTTGGTTTGTAGATTTCCAACTTTTGTATCATAAGTGGCCAAATATTAGAGATCTTTGTTATCCATGGGAACCTCGCTCTAGCCAAGAGATAGAGGTTCTGATTTATGTCATTAATAACTCTGTTTCTTGATATTGAACCTTCTTGGAAAATTATATTTCTTTTCTTCCATAGATGCCATATAATGATGGCTGGGGCAGCCAGATATAGTGGCTTCAGTTAATTAGGAGAATAGTCAGCTTTCCACAATTGTATTGCAACTTGATTTAACTAAATAAATGGGCCCTTAAGCTGCTGCAGCAAAGTGTGTTCAGATGCTCTTAGCATAATCTCTTGTTAGGAACAAATGTAGCATAGTTTCCTGTTGATAGATCTCACAACACCTGCACCATTCTTGCTTAACAGATTCTTGCTTAACACATCGCCCAAGGAAAAAGACCTTGTGAGACCACTGATAAAATCCATCACACACCAAAAGTCCAAACTAGTGTGAAAGAGTTGACAGTACTCATCAACAAGAATTATACAACGCAAGACCGTGATCTGCTAGCAAGTTTGCTTTGAAGAACCCAAATAAGAGACTTATTATACTGCATATAGAATCAGAGGTGATAGAGTTCTTGAATATGAATTACCGGTGAAAGGTTAAGAAATGGAGAGCTATGTACATTCTGTCATTGGTATAAAAAGTTACATGAATGGAGGATAGTTCAACATTTTCATGAACTATATATGCAGCTTAGTCAATATTACATGAACTAGTGATGAAAGTAGAAGGAATGAAGCTCTATTGTGTGTAAGTTTGAAATCAGAACCCTCGTAACTAGTAGCCTCAAAACCACCAAAGTTTTTATCATCCAACTAAAGATATGTGAATCGAATCACCTGAAGTCAAACTCTGTTGCAACAAGTCCAAAAAGACACTAGTTATACATAATTTAAGGATTATATGCATAGATGTTAACAAACCCCATATACTGCCCTTCCTTGATCTTTCTAATCGTGCCATATAAAGACAAAATAGCTATACCATTCTTGCATAACACATCGCCCACTGATAATTTTATCTTTCATACCATCCACAAATAGAAAGATAATTTATAAGATAGACTAGTAACACACATTTTACTAAAAACCCATTGTTGCTCCTCTTTCTTGTTGAAGGATTAAGAATGATATTTTTCATTTGTTGAATTATGAGTAATTTTAAGTAGATTTATTTAGTGAATTAATTATTATCAAGATGTTGGGTCCTAGTCTTGAACTACATTAAGTAGTTTTATTGCAGCAAATGCTTGGTAAGCTTCTAGAATTTTTTACTTGTATAGTAGACTTCGTATAGAATTAAGGCTTTGAAAGTTGATATTTGTTTGAATTCTTTAGTTGAATACCTCTGAACTAGTAGTCGTTATTGGGCCTGACAAAAGATCTACAATAAATAAATGGACGAAATAGTGTTAATGTAGTAGGTGAGGTTTTGTTAATATGAACTCCAACATGATGCATGACTCTTTATAAATCTAGGCAATGCATGCAACATTGTCTGTAATCATTTTATTTTGTCCAATTATCGGGGATTAGTTAACTTGTACATTAAATGGTCATATGTTCTAATACTTTACATGTTAGATGTTGAGTTAATACAGTTCTCAATTATTAGCATTTTGATAATTCATGTGTAGTAGGTTGTGCGAGGATAATGATATGTCCATTGCTCTCCAAAATTTTAAAAAAGTTCTTGCCAGGTACATAGTCTTGCTCACCCAAGATGACCTTCATATTAGTATGCTTGCATTTTTATTTAGTGCTTATAAAATTGATCATTACAACATATTGAATACATAGATTGTGTTACAGATTCTATCTTTTTTACCTCAATCTGAAAACACTTTAAATTAAATCATAATTTTGTTCTCTTTTTTTTCCCCACATGTATAAGTGGTGAGAATTGAATCAAGACTACTTGAAGGCTAAATGTCGCCACATTTTTTGTACTTGGGAAGAAATCTCCACGTATTTGTCTTAGTTAGGGAGTAATATTTAGTAATCAAGTATTGGACATATTTACTTTTATTAAGGAGCTTGAAATGAGATATTATCTAGTATAGTTTTAGTTGATCTTTACTGTATGATCATGGGTGTTTTATTATTCTATTTTCAATTTATGCAATTTTAAATTCAAATATAATATCAATATGAAATAATTAAATGTCATCAAATGTTTTTAATTAGTGGCAAAAGATTTTAACCTTTTGCGATTACTATATCAAACTTTTCAAGACATTTTCATCACAAATTAAATTAGTTTGTCATAAATTGAACACATTTAGTGACAATATATTTGTTCTAGTACCCTCCTTATCGAATATGAATTAATTTTATATTTTATGACAATTGTAATTATTACTAATAATATGACGATTTATAGTGACAATTTTATGTTGTCAATAAAAATCATACTTTTAGTGACAAGATGATATATTTAACTATAAAATTGTTATTCTTCATTAGAGTGATAAATTTGTCACTAATTTATACATTTAAGGACGAAATACTTTTTTGTATATAAAAGGTAGTCATTAGTGACGAATTTTCTTTTGTTCTACTACGAAATACATAGAACTTTAGAGACAATTGGTATCGTCACTAATTGAACTAAATAATTAGTGACCAAATAGTTTTGTCAGTGTTAATAACGTTTTTAGTGACAAAATTATACTATCAACTACAGAAAACACACTTTTTATGACAATCAAATTCGTCACAAATGCATAGCATTTGTGACGATTTTTTTGTTTTGTAGTTAATGGAACTTCTTTAGAGACGAAGCACTAAATCGTCTTTATATACATTTAGTGACGCACCTTTAATGACGACTAACTGACGAAATTTTTTTCGTCACAAAAAAATTGTGACGAAATATGCTTTATAAATGACGAAATAATTTGTCCCTAATAATCAAATTTGTTGTAGTGTTCCGTGTGTGGATGGAAAGTTGTACTAAAAGTGAGTTGTGTGCCCAATTCATCATTTAATTTCCTCCAAAACTTGGATGTCAATTGCGTACCATGGTCTGAGATAATAGAGAGGGGCACCCCGTGCAGCCTTACCATCTCTCTCACATAAACTTTAGCCAACTGTTAGGCGTTATAATCTATTCTGACCGGAATAAAATGGGCTAACTTAGTCAATCTGTCAACCACTACACAAATGGAATCAAACTTCCCCGAAGTCATGGGAAGACCAACCACAAAATCCAAAGCTACTCTTTTCCACTTCCATTCCGAAATTGACATTCTCTGAAGCAAAGTTGTTGGCCTTTGATGCTCATATTTTACTTGTTGACAATTTTGACACTTAGCTACAAACTCCGCTATATCTTTCTTCATGCCCGACCACCAATATATTTGCTTCAAATCTCGGTACATCTTGGTTACACCCAGATGATATTGGATGGTCACATCATAATGCTTGAGTAACTGCATCCACCTTCGTTGTCTCAAATTCATATCCTTTTGAGTGAATACATGTTGTAGACTGTGATGATCAGTAAACACCTTGCACTTAACACCATAAAGATAATGCTGCCAGATCTTAAGAGCAAACACTACCGTTGCCAACTCTAAATCATGTGTTGGATAATTCCTCTCATGCACTTTCAACTGCCGCGATGCATAAGCTATGACATTCTAAGCCTGCATCAACACCGCACCCAAACCAGAATGTGAAGCATCACAATAAACAATAAAATCTTTACCTTCCACCGGTAGTGATAGAATAGGTGTTGTGGTCAAGAGTGTCTTGAGCTATTGAAAGCTCTCTTCACATTTTTCAGTCCATTTAAATGGTGTCTCCTTTTTGGTCAAACTCGTCAATTGTGTGGCAATAGAAGAATTTTTTTTCACAAATCGACAATAGTAGTTAGCGAGCCTTACAAAACTCCTAATTTCAGTAACAAAACTTGGTCGGACCCAATTCTTATCTGCTTCAATCTTTTGGGATCTACCATTACCACTTTTTTTGAAACTACGTGTCCAAAAAAGGCAACCGAAGTCAACCAAAATTCACACTTAGAAAATTTTGCATACAACTTTTGTTTCGCAAGAACGCCCAGAACAATACGAAGATGGTTGATATGCTCTTCCTCACTTTTTGAATAGACCAAAATGTCATCAGTAAACACTATCACAAACGAATCGAGGAAGGATTTGAACACCCTATTCATCAAACTCATGAAAGTTGCAGGCGCATTTGTCAATCCAAACGACATAACTAGAAACTCGTAGTGCCCATAACAGGTCCTAAACGTCGTCTTGGGCACATCCTTAGGCCTAATCTTTAACTGATGGTAGCCAGACCTTAAATCAATCTTAGAGAAAATTGATGTACCTTGCAACTGGTCAAAAAGATCATCTATTCGAGGCAATTGGTACTTCATTCGAATGGTAAGCCTATTCAATTGACGGTAGTCTATACACATTTTCATACTATCATCATTTTTCTTAACAAACAAGATAGGAGCACCCCATGGGGAAGCACTAGGATGGATGAATCATTTATTAAGAAGTTCTTGGATTTGAGCCTTAAGTTCTGTTAATTCTGCCGGAGCCATACGATATGGAGGGATGGAAATGGGACGAGTACCAGGTTCCAAATCAATGCAGAAATCTATATCTCTATCCAGAGGCATACCAGGCAAATCAGTAAGAAACACATCTATAAATTCTGACACCACAGGGATAGACTCAACAGAGGGAGACTCAACCTCAACGTCCCGAATATGAGCCAAATAAGCCAAACAACCCTGCCTCACCAGTTTCCTAGCCCTAATGGAGGATATGATCTTAGCTGGTTTAGGCTTGTACACCCCTTTCCACTATAATATTTCCCTACCGGGGATCTCTAGAGTCATAGATTTCGTATTACAATTTAACACAGCATAATATGAGGACAACCAAGTCCTTCCTAAGATTATATCAAAGTCAGTCATATACAAAATCACTAAATAAGCCCAAGTCTGAAAACCATAAACAAGATAGGACAAGCATTATAGACATGGGTGACTATGCCAAACTCTCCAACGAGTGTAGAAACATAGATGGAGGCATCAAGTATATTACAAATCATATCAAATTCTGAGGCAAATCGCACGGACACATAAGAATAAGTATAACTCTTATCAAATAACACATTAGCCATCAGGTCACAAACAAGAATAGTACTTGTGATCACTGTATCAGACGTCTCTGCCTCGGTCTTACCCGGAAAGGCATAACACTGAGCCATGTCCTCATGACGGGAAACTTCCCTGCCTGGCTGCATGGTACCTCTGCCTGCATTACCATTTCCCCGACCTCCACGACCTCGCTGATTTCCTCGTCACCCACCTTGTGGACTTCCTCGACCATTATTACCATTTCCCACGGGTAACACTGCTCTAGTCTCCTACTGCACGGAATCCAACATGCACAGGTGGGGACAATCTCTCCTCATATGCCCAGGTTCTCTATAGTTATAACATGTGCGATCAAAAGATGGCATGCTGTCCGCTGAAGGTGCGGATCCCTGGCTATCCTGTAGAGTTTCCGAGTAATTACATGTAGAAGCGGGCATAGTGGATTGAATTGGTCGGGCTGCAAGTGTCGGCCTCTCTGAACCTCTGGAGTAAGAACCCTAAAAGTTACCTGAATTCTTGGCTTTCTTAGCTAATGCCTTAGTCTGACGGACTTGCCTCACCCCCTCCACTTTCTTCATAAAATATGTTACCTCATTAAAAGTTTTTCCTACAGAGGTCATATGAACAGACAATACTTGCTATTGAGAATTTAGTCCCTTAACAAATAGGCGGATCCTCTCTTCCTCAGTAGTCACCAATTGCGTAGCATATCTCGAGAAAGCATGGAACTTAGCATCATAACCAGCCACAGACATACCTCATTGCTCCAGAGCCATGAACTCATCCTTCTTACGATCTCACAAAGTTTGGGGCACATACTTCTCCAAGAATAGAGCATGAAACTGGGTCCATGTGAGTGGGGGTAAAGTTGAAGATCTGCATTCCACATAAGCTCTCCACCATTGCTTAGCCTCGCCCTGAAGTTAAAAAGTCACAAACTCTACTCCATGCTGATGGATAATTCCCAATTTATGAAGCATTTCATAACAATCTAGGATGAACTCATAGGCTTCCTCACTCTCAAAACCATGGAACACTGGTGGTTTCAACTTCAAGAACTTAGTCAACATCTCATGTTCATTACGAGTCATAACAGGACCCAACAAAGGACAGAAGAAGGCATGATTACCTACAGTTCCACTCACATTGGGGACAGTGATAGCAATAAGGGGATTGGCCGGAGCTTGAGTTGCTTGCACTGCGGGAAGAACTCCAGGGCCAACCAATCCTTTCAGGAAAGACATAATATGTTGAGCTAACACTAGGTCTAATAAAGGAATACATGTAGTCTCAGCCTGCACCTCTCCTCTTGTCCAACAACCTCCTCATTCTCAACCTCAACATTCTCCTCTATCTCTTCATGTTGCGCATGAGGATTCTCATTTTTGGGAGCACTCTCAACCGGAGCTCCACCCTTAGCGGGTTCTACTTTTCCTATGCCCCTGTCCCTTTCTCGCCCTCTACGCCTGCCTCAACCGTGACCTCTCGCTGC